AATATATTAATTACTTTTATTTTTTAAAAAGATACATATATTTCAGTATTTTAAATACATTTTGCTACGTATTTATTCAAATAAAAACTACTGAAGTACACCTCAAAAGAATATAAATTTATGTAAAGGAATCAGGGCATACACAGTTTAATTTTTTATTCTCTTTTCTCAAAAATAATTAGAAATGAAAAATTAATTAATTAAACTAAATTTATCTTTGAAAATGGAACACAAAAAAATATTTATAACAAATAATAATAAATAATATATAATCAAAAATTTTAGATTTTTACACATTATTCATAGGCAAATGTAAATGATTTGAAACCAATGAAAATCACAATTACATATTTAGAAAGTTAGGTATTGAATAAATTTGATCTCATTACAAAATATTATAATAGAAACACATAAATCAGTTTATTGTGGATGAAAACATTAATAAAAATTTTAGACCAAAAACTTTTGTCAGTTCTCACTTTCAACTATGTTTATATATGTTATATCTATAAATACACATATATACATAGCATTTAAAAACGTTAAGCTTATAACCAGTAAATTAGTTTACATTATTATACATGTAATATAATAAATAATAGTTATCTTATAATCAAATTAGTAACAAGTTTCTTAATAAAAAATTACAATTATAACAATATTTTTTGAAAAAACATATAGATTATATAAGATCAAATCAAATCTTCTAATTTTTAATAATATTAAAGTGAAATAACAAGACTAAGTAAAATAATGAATTTGTTAAATGAAGGATAATTGCTTAAATGATTTTGACAAAGACATAGTTCTATGTGTTGAGTAAGGTAATATGGATTGAGATGAATTTTGTCGTCCTATATTTTGACATTAACCAAATAAATTTATATTTAATGGTGCACATCTAACAAGCGTTTTATTTCATCAAGTATATTGTTTCCATAATATTTCTGTCTTCAATACAACATCATTAATTTGAATTTAATTAATTTAATTCAATATAAATTGGTATACTACTGGTTGCTACAATTTTTTTTTTTTTTTAATATTCTTTAACTAGTTTAATTTCATTTTTTGTTGTTATTATATTCTGTATTTGAAATTTTATGAAAAAATGTTGAGGCTTTTATATTTCTTTAGTCAATTCTAATATGTCTTCAGCAAGAAATAACTCTTAATTTCCATAATCCTTATAAAAAACTTTGTATTTATAATTTATTTTGTCAATAATTTGAGCACGACAATATATAATTGGATTTAACGTAGATATTACACTTACGTTATCATCAATATTTAATAGTGTCATTAGAATTGTCATTTATACTAGCTTGTCTATAATATTTAATAATTTGTTTATTACATTTATTAAAACTTTTAATACATTTATAAGTGGCATTACTAATAAAAGTTGAATTTAAGCTTTTAAAATTTATTATCAAAATAGTTAAACCATTTTTTATAGGTTAAATTGATTTTTCTAATTTATTATTATCTTTTTCTGGCATCATTATGATTTTTCTTTAAAATCTTCATTGTTGAGACTTGAAATAACATAATTTTTGTATTTTTTAGTTTATAGATATATTGCTTTTTATAAATTGCAATAAACTCTTTTATATCAATTTTAAGATTTTTTTTATCATACTCTAAAAATAATTTGTTCCCAGTTTAATTATTCAAGATAAGAAATGACTCAGCTATTATTATTAATTCTAGTTAATTCTAATTAATAATGAGTTCAAGTGATACTCTTTGACACAATATTTTGATGAAATTATTAAATTAAACTAAAAGTCGAAAATTGTTCAGGCTAATAATGTTATCTACAAGACCGAATTTTCTTTTAAAAACAGTGATGGGTATATATAAATTATCAAAATGTCTTACCTCAATTTTATCTTGGTTCAATAGATAATTTTAAAAAAATAATAAAGGTTAGAGAATCTTTTGGTTTTTACTTTGTATTATATACTAAGTATGTATTGATCAAATTATGTATTTTATTAAACAACAATTAAAATGATTATTATATAACAATTTTTAAAATAGTTTTAATGCTCATTTTTATTTATTGCTAGCCTCTTTTAATTAAATAGGATATATCTTAATTGTATAGCCTGTTTAATTATTTCATATTCTCCTCATTAATTATCTTCTTATGGACAATAGTATTGTTGTGGCTTTTTGCCTTTCGTCTATCACTTGGTCAATCTCAGAACCTACAATATACCATCGATAAATCTTACTCATTAGAGATCGTGTCATCGGATGGCAGTTTTTTTGTTCGTCTCTGAAATGGCAAGACTCAGGCTGACTTACTTGACGATGAAAGACTACCAAAAGATTATGCGTGGACTCCAACTTCAATCGCGGTAATTGATGTAACAAGCTTTCAATCAACTCAACTGTATCAAAGGCTATAATGAGAACCAACGAACATATTGACGTCATATTTTCGAAAACAAAAACCATAATAAAATGTTAACTAATTTTTATAAATAGTTGTTCGGACGCAATTTCTGTGATACCGAACAAACATGCTGCACGAATAATTTTGATATTTTTTTGATCATAAAATGTTTTTGTTTTCGAAGAAACGATTAGATTTTTATAATTATTATAAATCTTGATGACGTTTCAGTTGCATCCTTCGTTCGCCTTTTCAACTGGCACGGAATATAGACAAGAGTTTCAAAAGCTTTCAACGTTCATATTCTAGAATATATGTACATAAAAACATAGAAATGCTTAGAAATGCATAGAAATTGCACTGTTTACAGTATGCAATAAACGTATAATATCCCGGGCACTTACAAAAATAAAATGTTGAAATGTTTCAAAATAAGTGTTCTTTTACAACGTATATGTCATCTATGTATATGTATTTGCAACAGAATATTGGCTTAGTCTCTAACCTGTGAATAAGCTGTGATATGAGATTTTTTTTTACCTATGTGAACATATGGCATACTAAAATATGCCACTGTAAGTAACATTAGAAATCGTCAGAAATAATAAATATGATTAACATAATTCTGTTTAAAAACATTATAAACATATCTTACAATATGAATTGTTTATTTATAGCAAGTTGAAAAAAAAAAAACAGAAAATAATTATTAATCATTGCTTTCAACTCTTAGGTAAAAAATAAATCTAAGGGCGTAGTCGTATTTGGCTATAAAATATGCATACTAGATAAGTGGTAACAAGTATACATTTAATACATATATATTTATTAAATATTGTATTCTTCAATCGCTCATTTACTAACTACAAATATATATATGTATATACGCCGTCATTATATATATTAATAATTTATAACATCACACAGTTTATTTTCAATTTACAAACTAATCAGGGAATAATGTTGATCGGTAATCGATATTCTAATACTAAGTAATAAAGTCATAAATGGAATATATAATTAATTTTAAATTAATAAGTATAGGGTTTCTTAGTATTTGACAATCCTATGTACCACTACAGTGTGTAAGTTGTTAATATTCTGATAAAATAATTTATTATAATACCTAATGAAAGTATATACAAAATACGCAGATTAACATAATATAGTATTATACTATTGTTATGCTTACAATATAATAATTTGGGATAAGTATATCGCACACAGTGAACAGCGAAATCCTGTAAATGAAACAATTAGTTTTTGTTATAAAATATCCAATACCTAATACGAGTTGATGTACAATGGAAGTTTATTATCCATCATTTGTGGCCATGTAGGTAAACTCATGATTTTGATAGTTTTTATTATACCTCCATTAATTTATATTATACCTGAATTGGTTTTAAGTTATAATCACGTGGTAGTTTATTTACATTTTACTAAACAATTTCAAATCTATAAAAAAGACCATGTGGAAATAAGATAAAATAATTTTACTGTGTGAACGACCGATTTTTGTCAATTTCTATCTATTAAATATCGACGAATACTGTATAATTCGATTATGTAGTTTTGCAATATTATATAAGTGAAAAACATTTGGAAAGAGAGATAAAAATGAAACCCCTCTTGTATATAACTTTTATATGTTAAGTACTCACTTAGAAAAAAAAAAAAGTTTTATGGTTGTTATAGTATCGCGATTACAAAATAAAACAGTTTATTATATACACTCTTATATATTTCATTTAGTGATAAAAGTACGTGCATTTATCATATTGCAGAATCTATATTGTTTTATTATATAAATAAATAAATAAACAAATGTTTTTTCTGGAATATTATTATATTTGTAAAGTACGACCGGTTTCGAATTAAAAATTGATCATCAGATATGTACCAAGTCAATAAAATCATGACTTGAATAGAAACATAATTTTAATTAATAAAATAATTATTTCAGGCTAAGTATTTATTTATTTATTTATTAATTTACGAGTATTAACTATTTAACTCAATTTTGATTTTTATTTTTATTATTTTATTACATTATGTTTTATCGGCGAAATACATATGTTAATAAAGGTTAATGAAAGATTAACCGAAAAAAGTATACCGTTCTCTGCTCGTCCTCACATCTTTCTTTCCTGTACACACTCACATATCGTTTCCGATGCACAACCGATACCGGACAGATGGCATGGTTCGGCGGATATACTGAATATTTACGGGGATAATAGGGATTGTTTTATGTGAATATATATATATGTATATTGATGGTGGTGGTGGTGGTGGAGATTGTGGCGACGAGCAGCAGAAACTCCTCCGAGTGAGTGCAGTGCAAGGAGAGAAGAACCGTAAGAAGAAGAAGAGATAGGGTAGGCCGGGGCGAAGGAGAACACGGCGGAAATAATGGTGTATGAGAGTGATGGTGTTGGCGAGAGGGATTGTGGAGGGACGGAGTGGGCAGCGCGTATACGCGTGTGCTCCGCGAGAGCGAGAGAGGGTATGCGCGCCGCGACCGGCATGCGCACAGACCAACGGGGGTGGGATAAAACGCTTTTCCTGCAGATTTCCCCAGTCGCCACGGACGAACCCTTCTGCTAATATCGTACTCTTTCCGCGGTATACATATAGTCGTACGTTTGTGTGCAGGGGGACGAGAAGTTTGACCTCGTTAAGTTCGTTTTGCGTTCGACACCTGTTGAGTTATACTGCTTCATGAACGATCGCGGCGGCGACGTGCACTTGGTAATTTTGTTGATTTATATTTTAAATAATTTTTATAATACGCGTACAGCACGTAACGGTACGTCGTACTTTTTTCTGTGTGCGTGCTCTGTAATATTCCGTATTTGTGCACGCGCGTGTGTGTCGAACGCGGCGTGTATCGTAACGTAACGATGATTATGTATGGTATTGCGTTTAACGCATTATTTCTGCGTTGCAAACCACCTGTGCGTAATGGTATGCGCCGGAAACTAGAAGACAGTTTCTTTTCGATTTATTAATATAGTAACAATGTGTCTTACGCGATTCGGTGTACACGATTTTAAATTAACTTTTCGGAACCTACTGAACACACCGCGACTTTAACTGTATGCTTTCCGTGCTCAACACAACATTCATGAACGATTGTTAATTTTCAATCATTTTCGATGACTTAGGGTATATTTTACACATGTATAGCGGTTTAAAAGGCAACACTATTCTATTCGGTGGACCATACACGTCCAGACGAGTGTTGTAAGAGATGTTTATTATTTTTTTTTACGTATAATATTGAATAAGTAATGTGTTTTCGAAAACTGTACAATATTTTAAATAATTTTTCGCATTGGTTTGTACACACACACCCACGCAATAATTGTTTGTTGTTTAAATTGCGATTTTTTTTCCTATATGAGTACCACATTTATAATATACATATGTTTACTGAAATAAATCAATTTCTTACACGTAGCGCACGATTGAGTGTCACCGTTATTTTGGTCATGTTATTATGTCTATTGTGAAAATCTTAATCTAGTTTGGTGTTATACTCTACACGTACACATAATACACATATACATATGAACAGCATGAAATTCTTTAATTGCACATTTTAAGTGCCTAAAAAATAGCTATACGGCGAGCACCCCATCGCGTTTTAATAGGATTTATCCGGACCACCTACAACCCTCTTGGTTTTAGTGCGGATTTTACGGCCTGAATCTATTACATGGTCAGAATAAATTAAATTTTTTTTTCATTATTATTATTATTTTACTTTTTTTTTATCAACATTTTAATGTGCAAACGTGAGATGTCAACACATATCGTAGCAAAATCATACCATAACCTCGATGTATACTGCATGAGTATGTATTATAAATATATGCAAACAATTTACCATGGAATCTTACGACAGTTTTATTTGGAAGTTAAGTTAGAGTTAATAAGTCATACTAGGGAATTAATATAAAATCGACACCAGAATTATTTGTAAATAGTTTTCTGTGCGATAAAAATTGACAATAAAATGTATTATCTTTTTGAATTTTCAATATTAATATTTTTTTAAAAATAAGGTATATTTAATATTCAGAGAATCGTAGATTTGATTTTTTTTTTTCGTGAGAGGCGACTGTGTGAGTATAAACAATAGAATTAATGCCCTCTTATTTGTTACTGGTGTCGATATTCCTAGACGCCGCCAAAGTTGAATAAGTTAAAAAATTATAAATAAGGGAGTTTATAAAATATTCACATTTGAATATACGTTTCTTTAGCTACCTTATATAATCGTATACTTTAGTATTTTTTATTTATTTTTTATCTTACCTTATTTTTGTTGCAAATTGTTAACTGCTTAAATTCTTTATATAATTAATTTAATTGCATTGTTGTAATGTTTATAACAAAGGCAAAAAAAAAAAGAATATACGTTTAAATCGAATGAAAAAGCTCAATATGGTGATAAGTTTACGGACTATACATATATATATATATATATATATATATTTATTGGACTGTCGAAAGAGTGTTTCAAATTTGATATATGCGCGGCAATTGCACGCTTTACAAACTTTTATAAAATTGTAAGTTTTTTTTTTTTTTAAAATTAATTTTTATTTCCAAACTATTGATTTTTTAAGTTGGAGGTATTTTGAACCGGGATGTCGAATATTGTTCTGTACAAATATTGTTCATGAACGAGACTAACTATACAAGGCGCACGCGAATTTGTTTATTCGTGTGAGCATATTTTTTATTCCTTATACACATGTATGCACACGCGCAGCGATTCACGTGTTTTTTCGCGTATAATAGAAAATACACTATCTGAAATTGTTATTTACTTAACCGTGTAAGTTGCGCGGTATCCTGGGAAAATAATTTCGGATAATTTTCCCGCCGGCATTAACGCTTTTTTTTACTAGATAAACACCAGTATTTATATTACGTTAAAATTGTTTGTTTTTTTATGTATATATAAAATTTTTATTTTATTTCAGTAACGGGCAATGCCTCGAGACGGAACCAAAGGTAAACATCAATTTAAACGACGGTTCAGCCTACAGCCGTCGTCTTTCTTCCGCGATGATACGCTGTCATCGAGTCATTCGATCGCCAGGTAAGGATCTACGGGAAAATGAGTATTTCATCTTGTTGTTTAAATACATTTGAACAAAATTTAACAAAACATAAATATAACGTATGAAAATGTTTTTATTCGCGTATTACCGTCGTAGAATGTAAAAACACGACGTTTTCGCCTGGACGCGCGGTAAAACCGTCATTATGATAATTGTTAATATGTTTACAATGTACAAGAAACGAAACGTTATTACAATAATAATAGCTGAAAGCGAATAGCGTAACATAAAAAAATTTAAAAAATAAGAAATCGACATGTTTAGCGAGATTAAGAAATAATGATAACAGCAACTTTGTTCGTACGAACGGACCGCCGTGATACGCCACGCGGTTGTTGCTGTTGTTATCGTCGTAAATCGGTTACGATCACGGTGTTGCGAGTGATCGGAAGCCGATGGGTTTCAATAGGCGTACGGGTACGTAGGGTACTGTTGGCCGTAATACTTGTTGTTGTGATGCTGGTAGTCGTACGGATAATAAGCGTACGGGTACCCGTAGTAGTTGTTGTACCCGTTGTACCCGTTGTACCCGTTGTACCCGTTGTAGTTGTACCCGTCGGGTTGGGGCCAGTTGTAGCTGTACCCGGGGTAGCCGGCCGTCGCCGCGTAGGGCTTGCTGTACACCGCGACGGGCGCCACCGACGCCTTGTCGTACTTGCCCGCGTAGTACTTGCCATCGTCGTACTTACCGGCGTAGTACTTGCCATCGTCGTACTTGCCTGCGTGGTACTTGCCGTCGTCGTACTTGCCCGTGTGGTACTTACCGTCGTCGTAGAACCGTTGCACCCCGTACGGATATCCGTAGGCCCCGCCGTAATAGCCGTACGCCGCTGGTACGCCTGCAAAAGAAACCAAACTGTGTTGCAGTTTCGTGGGCGGTACGTGAAAAACTTGCTGCGCCCGGACGCGATCTCAAGTCGAGAAATTGATATTGATCCCTGTCGTGACGGTCGTACGACACGATGTGGATTCTCGTTTTACGCGGGTAGAAAATGTGTTTCCCGACGTTGTACCGATGGTTGACGGCGGATATTTTAATGAAATTTAGTACCTCTTTGCTTACATAATGCGCATAACTTTTTCAATCATTTTTTCGTATTTTTTTCTACAACGTCGTGTACACGATCTAAAAGTATAGCGTAACTGGTCGGAAAAATTATAAATACGGCATTCAGTCGTCGCGCATCAACATATCAGTAGAAATGAAAATTTATTTTTATCGTTGACGGGTCATGTTCGTAAGAACACCAGCAACATTTCAAGATATCGAATAGGTGACTCATTGACAGTTGTGTGGGAATAATGAATGTCAACGAAAACAAATAGTAACGATCTAGAGAACGATTTCAGTTATTTTTCCCTTTCTTTCGCACTAGGCACAAAGACATCGCGAAATGCAATATTAATTTCCTTTCGACGACTCCGATAAGTAAAATATGATTCTTTTCTCGCGCTTCTATTTCGCACAGGAACTGTACCGAAAACGCATTTCGTGACGTGTATACCGCCGTTCGAGATCTTTAAAAGTAATAATAAACTATTATTATTCCGCGGGTCTCAACCCCGGTACCGGGTGTTCGCGACCCTAACGTGTGCACAACTTCTACCGTAACTACGTACCGTCGTACAGAACGCGCGCGCAGAAACGCGAGGTTCGGGATTAGATTTTTCGAAGATTACGCGAGCACACACCGTACGCACTAATCCGCTACACGTCAAGCCGTGGCGTAGGCGGCGCACTGCATAGATACGTACGTAATAAATCCGGTCTAACGCGTGCGGGACATCCGTCGTGACGTGCTCGCGCGGGACGGCACGCGGATAAGGGTCATGCCGGCGCAGGGACAGGGCGGTGGGAATCGATCGTGTGTATCCCTACACCCGCCGGGTTTCTCGGACATAGGTGCAGCACGGGATCGTCGCGAACGCCGAGGACGGTGTAAGCGTTTGGTTTCGTACCCGGGTAAAACGAGCTCAACGTCGCGTGTACCCCGAAGCAAGGGACGGACGTGCACAACACTGCCGTGTCCGTCGAAACCGCGTTAAATGTGCGCGCGACTCACGACTCGGCCGTGACGTTCTTCCCGCCGTCTTGATGCTCGATGGTTACTGCACCACCGCAAATCGTTATTGTTATCGTTATTATTACTGTTGTCGCAGAATGCACTCAGTTCTGAGCCAATTATTACATCGCAATAATAACGATGCAAAACAACGGTTCACACGCGCATAACGACGGCAATACGATGCACCGTGTTGCCGTGGGGGGAGGGGGTCAATATCACAAAAAACATCCATTTTACGCGCGCACTGATGACCGAATCTTATCGACGAAGGGCCGCACGAAAAACGAAACCCTCCGTCATTCACCCGTTTACCGTGTACACGAATTCGCCGTCCGTACGACCCGGGACTGACTGGGTATAGAGGTGGTCGATCAACCGGACCTGTTATCGTCACGTTTCAACTAATAAATATTTTTGGTTGGTAGGGCTGCGTTCATCTTTTTTCTTTTTTTTTTTTTTTTACTTTTTGCACCGAATTGTTTTAAACAAACGTACAAATGAAAACAGAAAAATTCAAATTAAATATTAGTTTAATTGTTTTTATAATACGACGTTATCGAGGGCCCGGGAACCGATTCCCCATTTGCCTCCCCGCCCCTGTGTGTACGACGCGGCCACGTTGCGAAACGTATCGTATTTCACCCCGTGGACGATTCGCCGCAACGAAAACAACGTTTCATCACGGCCGTGGATCACATATCACGATATCATACAAGTACGATATCGTGTCTGTTCATTGATCAACGTGCAGTGTCGCAAAACGCCTTTTGCCGCGTCCCTAAGTTATTTTACATTTTTTAATTTTTTTTTTTTTAACATAAGCCAGTTGTGCGACTGTCTATTCTTTTTAACGTATCGTGCTAAAACGGACGGACATGAGCATACACGCGGTTAACGGGCGGAATCGGTGCGAGTGAAACTTTTTCTTCCAAATCACACCGAGAAATTGGATAGTATCGATTGCTATAGTAGGTACTGCGTAATACTACATCGGGTAGTGCGAAAACATTTTTATTTTCAACTGGATGACAACAAAAATATGGAATGTACATTTCAACTTTAATAATGTAACATATTTAATGGTGATTTGAGTGGGGCAAATACTATAGTTCTTGGATCACTTTAGAAATTTAAAAGCCGTATTGATGAAAAACTTAAACGACTCACATCACCCTGCTTGAAGTTTATAATCTGATTGATATGCTAATTAGTACCCGTTTTCAGTTCTCGCTGTACACAATTTTTGTTCAAACCGTTGAATTTTGTGTTAAAGATAAATTGCGATTGAGCTTATATACAAATTAGTTAAAAATGTCGATAGCTGTGAACGCATTTTTTTCTTTTTAAATTTAATTAATATGAAAATAGATGTTTCCGTAATTTCAACGAGATTTTCAGTGCAACTCGACGTAACACCGTGTCGCGGGATAAGTAATACGCGCTTTGGGCGAGTTTCTAATAATATTTTCTCGTGAAAATCGTCGCGAGGAAAAAATATTCTTCTTTTTATTTTTACTACCATTCGAATTTGTATAATATTACTTTTTATTTATTTATTTATTTGAAACGATATGAAAATACTACCACGCGGTGGCAGGGTGACGATACCAAAATCTCAGATGACTTGCAACGGGGATTTTCGTATCACTGTTCAAACGTCAGTTTAGCTTTAAAATTAACTCTGGCGGAATCTAATGAAAAAAAAATAAATTCAGAAAAAAAATAATGTTTAGGAAAAATAAAATAAACACATTGTCATGCGTTACATACTATATATTATTCTATTGTACGTGAGCACTATATAATACGAGTATATGATGTATAGTCGCGTATATGTAACGGATTGGTTTTCTAGAGATACCGAAGCAATGAAACCCGCACGCAGCACGATGATTTTTCAATATAAACGGACCAACTAGAGTTATCAGAACATTTTTTTCGTGAAGATAAAGTTTTATTAATCTATTATTATTACTTTTTTGTGATCGAGTTTCAACAGTTAGTGGAACAATTTCAAAACGTCAAAACTTACAGGATTTCGAACAATACTTTTGCGAAAGGAAATGTTTTCAACTTCACTATATAAGCGTTAATTAGTTTCTATTGTGCATATACATCCTTGCCCGTCTTCCCGACGACAAAAGAACTATTATATGTCTCGAGGGCAATTCTTTTCCTTAAAATTGTTGCTAGCGTGAGCGTGAGAGGTGCCTCCACCACAAGGATTTACATTTTTATTCAGTTTCTTGAAAATTTGCTCAGATGAAGAATTATATTTAATAAAACACATCATACCCGCTCACTGTTGTTTGAGTGAGTATTTTTGTTCACCTGTTATTTTGATACGTTTGAAAAGGGTTAAGAAAATATTCAAACCGTTTGAAGGGTGATTACATTTTGTTCAAAATAAAACATTAACATTTGTAATTCCATTAAGCTGTATCACGTTATTTGATTATAAAACAAAGTATAAATATTCTACCTTCGTATACTATTTTGTAGGTATTTTCTTGTACAGTAAAATTCCCTGCATTAATTCATTGCTTTCCTAAAATATTTACCACTTTCTTGCGCGATGATTGTACAGAGAAGAAAAAACTAAATTATAATTTATAATTACATCAATTACCTCCTCTTTAGAATACCAATTATGTAGCTACAATTATTATTAATTAAACTTTAATATAATTTAACAAAAAATATTTAACCCTCCTGTTATAAAATATTTTTTGAAAAAAAATAATTTTAGCCAACGTAATATTTCATCTTTAAAATTTAAGATTTTAATGATTTAATACTTTTAAAATCGATCAACATTTTCACGCTTCATAGAAATATTGAGATCTTAACAATTTGTTAATAATAATAGTATGCGTATTATTATTGTTAAATTTACATTTAATTTATTTACGTTAATTATTTGTCTGGATGACATTTTCGAAATTCAATTAAAAATATTCTTAATGTGATTAAATTATTACATTAATTAAAGTACTTTCAACAGTTAATTTAGAACTTTTTGTTTTCGCCTAAAGTGAGTTAACGTAAATATAATATAGCTTCAATAAAGAAATAAAATAAAATAAAATTAATGATAATAATAACAAAAATAAATATGAACAAGTAGAAATAATATTATAAGCCATCAGTCAGATTGTGTGATTGATTTTCAACCATTTTATGGTACTTGTGACTATTATAAGCTAGACTATTAATCGAGCTTTTCGGTATTTATGCCGCATAGTACTCATACGTACCATCACCGGTATTTGGGTCTGATTTCCAATAAAATTCCCTCAGATAATTATTCATTACATAGCCATTTAAACGGTCGACTAAATTATAAACTATCATTATTTGACTTTGGCAAATTAGTTGAGTTAGTTTGTATTTAATTGCATAAACTTCAGCACCTTAATCTGATTTCAAAGGTAGTGCTGCAGTTATCTGCGATTTACTTTGCGAACGAGAAAAACATTTAAATTCAAATGTACGATGAGGCACACGTAAAATAACTAACTGTGTATATATATATATATTATGTATGACGTACCTGGTGGAGGAATTATTACTGCTTTCTTCACTCTTTCGTTATCGGCCGCTTTGGATGCGTCCTTTTCGGCGAAAGCCGTCACAAAGAGAAGTGCTAAACATAACTTTGAAAAAAAAAAAAACAACTAGATTATTCACAATTATGATAGACGTTTCGTGACGGGAGAAAAAAAAAGTTATGTTGTTTGAAAATATTGCAGTGAAATAGATAAAAATAATAAAATTATTTTTTTTGAAAACACTGTCGCCAACGAAGTGTTATTATTGAGGCTTGGCGCAGGAAGATATTTACTTTAATTTACTTACGAAAAATTTTGATACCATTTTCGTGCGGTAAGTTAAGCAGTAGTTATATGTTATGGATGTCAAACGAACTCGGAGCTAAACGCGAGAACAGTACGTATAGTTCTTTGAATGACTACGTTTTCGTACGAGGGAGGAAAAACGAATGATTTGACATTGGCTATCACTCGGACTATTTATATATAAAACCTACCATCAATTATTAGTCATCTCTCCCTAATGACGTTAATTTTTTATGTTTGTTATGAAAATTTGAAGGTACAAATAATAATAATTATAAAAATATTATTATTATTATGGTTTTAATCGTTTATCGCCGTTTTCGTTTATCACGACTACCGCGGCGCTGGAAATTTGAGTGTACGTAAATATCCTTGATGATGGAACGATAGTTATTATAATTGGCTATTTCCCCTCTCTCACCGTGATGTTAAGGTCAACCAACTGATTATTACTATTATTTGTCAAAAGCATTTGGAAAATATAATCACATACACTTTACGCATATATAGCCTATTATATAAACTGTCAAAAAAAAAAAAAATAAATAAATAAATAAATAAAATAAATTAATAAAAATTACAAATAACCTCCTATCAATGGCTTTCAACCCATTTCGTGTTCTTGTGAGTATGCATGTGAACAACACTTATATAACCTATATAACCTATATATTCTTTCAGATTGACGTATAGGTATTAGGTACATACATTATTATTTTTGTCACGACAGGTTCAGTTGCATTTGCGGGTCTAGTCAATCGTTCTACAGGTACAAAAAACGCGTCTAAGTACCGTAGCTAAGTATACAGGGTGTCCTAGAATGATTCGACAAATGCAATAATTTTTATTCTGTTTATTATTTTTAATTATTTTATTTTAATTTTTTTTTTTTTTTTTTTTTAATAAATACTTAAAAAAAATAAAGGTCCTGTGCTACAAGAAAACTGTATTAAAAAAGTTTTTGATTTTTAGAACTCAAATTTGAACACTTTGAATTTTATTTTACAATTTGAAAAATCCAAAATAACCATTTTGTAAACAGGATTTTTTAAAAATCATATTGGTGTTTAAAAATCTAATTAAGATAGATCCGTTAATTTTCTATTATTTTTAAATTTTGTGAAAAAGTTAACAATATTATTGTGTACCACTTAATTATTTTAACCCGTACTATTGTAAAATAGTTGATCGAAATTTAAATTATTCCAAGATTTTTGTTATCATTTATAGCTATTATCTTTCTATCATTAACTATACATTGATATTTATCATTATAAACCCAAGTTATTAATATAGTAATTCATAATCGAAATAAATTAAAAGTTTCTACGAGTATGATTTTTGTTTTTTAAGTTAATTAATATTTATATATCACTTAAATCACTTGGATAAAAATTTTGTCACATTTTAAGTTTTTTGGTACAATCATCGTTTATATTCGTATGAAATTGGAGAGTTGCGAGAAAGCCTACTTATCAAATTTATAAATATGGCACTATAATATTATACAGTGCAATTTGAAGAAAGTTGTTCATTCAACTTGCTAAATAATTTTTACATTATGTCATACTGAAAATAAAAGATAAAAAATATAAAATATATTATAAAATATTATATATTATAAAATATATAAAAAAAAATATAAAATATAAGAAATTAAAACTTGTTGAAAAACTTCAACAAATTGCCTATAACTAGTGGACTTTCATATTTAAAAACAGTAAGAAACAAATCATTATGAAATTTTCATTAAATTACATGAACCAATGCAAGTTCAATAAGTATTAAATAATTAACTTCTAGATGCCAATAAAAATTATTTCAGAAATATATTTGTATGGTGTGTTAGTGTGAAATATAAGATATGTATCGAGGACCCTCAATTTGTGACCCCTAGGTTGAAAATCACTGCTCTACCCAATTATTATCAAAGGAAACCAATATAAAATGTATAGTAACAAATTTTATAGTATACATTGAATACCATAAAATTTGTTACAATTATAAATATTAAATAAAATATTTATTAAATGTCAATCTAATAAAATTACCTTCTTATCTATCTACTTCAATAATAATGATATCGATAGTACGTTTGTTTATGTTTGGACTACATTTCAAATGCATAGAAAATGACGGTTACATCCAAAAACGGCACACATTTAATTTTAATCCCAAAAAGTTTGGTAGACAAAAACTGCACACTTTATGGATTGCCAAGTAAGTATATCGTACAGCCAAATACCGCACACTTATAGTGGGTAAAAACCTCACTATAGAATGTATAATAATAATAATAATTTATTTTATAAAGAAGATTGTTGTATATACAATTTTAAAGTTAATTGTTACATTCAAAAGCTTATCTTAGCACACGTTGATGTACTTAAAAAATAACCAGTACATTTGTAGACCGAAACGCGTAGTAAAACGTAAAGTTTATATACATATATTATAAAAAAAAAAGTATTTTCATAAATCGATTTTAAAACTATTGATAGTAATAATAGTTGTGAGACGGGATGATATTAAAGGTCCAATAAACCCTAAGAAAAAGAAGAAGATAGTAATAAAGGAAGCAATTTATTTTTTTATTTAAATTCTAATTTTTTGAATAAACATCGGAAAAAAATGTTAGCCACCAACATTTTTGTATTTTTTTTTAAATTTTTCAATACCTATATACATTGTACCTCAATGCATTGTTTTTGAATAAATATGTAGTATAAATAATAAATAATAAATTATATATCATTATAAAATCTGCGGTTTTTGGAGTTGTCGAAAATGATTTCATGGAAAATTAATCGTAATTATCAATTATATCTTGATGGGATGTACAATAATTGTAAAGTAATTTTAATTATTAAATTCACATTTTCAAAAACTTTAAAAAATTATTATTGAGTCAATGGTTAAATGTTAACTATTTATTTTAAAACCATACTATTTCTAAAAATCTAATTTACAAAATGGCTAAATTCGATTTTTTTAAAAACTGTAGAATAAATTTTAGTTCTAAATATCAAAAAAATCTTTTAGTACGATTTTATTTTAGCGCAGGACCTAAATATAAATTAAAAAAAAAATTAAAAATTATCAACAGAATGATAATTATTCCATTTGTTGAAAAATCCAAGGACACCCTGTATTTAAATGTTATTTTTATCTATTTTTCTTTAAACGTATGTGTATCGGTTCATCGCAAATAATGCGGACCTTTGCATGTCGTGGAGTAAAATGCATTAAGTGTATTGACGATATTTTCCAGAAAATCGTATTTTTCGATCAAATGTTATAAACCAGTGGCGCACGCAGGGGGGTAAGGGGTTGTAACTCCCCCCCCCCCCCCGAAATTTTCTCCGGTGTCTAGGTTAAAATTTACAAATTTTAATTTTACAAGTTTAAAATATGAAAAGTTAGTATTGAATACCTAATATCATTGATTATAGAATAGTCTATTCTATTTTCAATGCTATTATTTAAATCAAAATATATTAAGGATTTACATAATTTTGTTAATTGTAAAATGTGTTATATTTTTACCTTGACCCCACCCTCCCGAACAAAAATCCTGTGTGCGCCACTGTTATAAACTCATAATATATATAACTTAATACTTTATCGATTTTGAACGTAAACCGAGAGCAATCTACGACAAACACACATTGTGAATAATACGCACTATTTTTCCTTCATACAACTTTCTTGTATGTCCTCACCGCTAAAGACCTCCATACGTTTAAGTATTTCATTAAATCTTTACTCTAACCAAATTTTAAGTCTTTTTCGTTTTTCTCGCAGTTTTTCTAATTTATTAATAAGAAATTAAATTATTTTTTCAGGAACAATGTTAAATTTCTTCCACGAAACGTTTGTATTCATATTTTGGTAATGCAAATGAACCTACGTTTTATGATTCGAAACTTGTATGCAACCACACGAACCGTTTCAACTAGTAGTGAAAAATCAACAGATCGAGGCGATTCTTCTTTAATAAGATTTTAAAGTTTAAAAAACTTTATTTTGTGTATAGTGATTTGCTGCTATAATTAAAGTACTAACATTACTTACAACACTATAGTATTACGTGTGTCATATGAGTTATGATTATACACTGCAATAAAGTGTTTAATGCATTTGTACTATGTACTGCATTGACCTTCGTTTAGAATATTTTTTTGATAACCGATCATTTATCATTGTTTTGAAACATATTCAATATAATGTAAATACGACTAAAGGTTTTTCACAGATATTCGTTAAATAAGCTCAAGTGTACCACGTTAGATTTCAATATTCTTTAAAAGTCTCAAATCGTTTAATTATAATTACAAAACCATACTGTAGTGCCGTAATGAACAATGACATAATCAACACGATGAATCGTGATACGGTCGGTATATGATAACGTACATGTAACTAAGTGAAATAAAACTTTTTAATACGAGTATATATAAGTTGCGGGATTCGTTGATTCGCTTCTGCCGCAGTCAATTAGTATAATTATATAATTGTGCACACGAAATATGCAAATTCTCGCGAAAACTCTAAGTTGGGTACAGTTTGTGTGCTGCATATCGAGAACTTACGCATAAAGACGCTATGCACCACCATGTCAAAAAAACATGCGTTCGAATCTATTTTAAAGACGCGCGCGAAAAGCGATTGATACGAATAAGTTTGAAATATCTCATGATATATGATATTACGTAGGGTTTCGGTGTATGTAAATATTTTTAATATTATTCATGGGCTGAAATGAATATCGTACGGAGGAATAACGCATAATACTCACAATGATTGGAGTTTTGATCGGGAAAGTTTTACTGATCTGCTTTGATGCGTCTTGTCGTGCATAATGTATTATATACGCAGATGCGTAACCACGATATAATACGTGTGCGACCTGCGTGTAACAATGTACGCACTTTTAATTTATTTTGAACCTCGTAATCAATTACAGGGTAATGATTTGATTTTGGAAATATGTCATTGTTTTTTCTCCACCACAGTATTATAAATAATATTAATAAATATAATTTCAAAATATTGCGCTGCGTTCCTGTACAGTATAATTAATTTCTAAACACACTCAGTGGCGGCCTGACCAAGTCGGCGAGTCGGCGCCCTCGGCTAACTGTGCCCTTACCGCCATGTCCGATTGAGCCTCTTTTTTTTTTGTAGATATTACATTAAATCGTAGTAGGTAGTCGCATTGTATTTTTAAAATGAATACCGTGCGATAAAATACTAATATTATGAAAAGTATAATAATATTATGAAACTAAATTTCTTGAACAACGAAAACGCAAGATAAAAAAAAAAAATGTCAGGAGAGATTGTAGAAAATGACCCTATAGCTATATATAATACAAATTTTTCGTTTAATAATTGACAAATTATTTAAAAATAAGAATATTTTGCAAGCATTAACATTTTTGGATCACAGTAAATTTACAGGTATAAATAACAAAATATTAATGATAACTAATTATTTAATTATAATAATTATAATTATAGGAATCACTACACATTTCAAAGAGTAGCTTAAAATCAGAAATGAGAGTGACATTTTATGTTTTAAGTAGTAAAAAAAAAAAAAGATTTCAATATAAATTATGTCAAAGAAATTGCCGAAAAACAAATATTTCCAAATCTTTTTAAACTTTTACAAGTGGCTTTATCTATTCCTATAGGTTAGGTTACGTCTTCAACGAGACCAATAAAACATTGGCTTAGATTTTCCATGACCCAAGACCGATTTACAAATTCATCTATTTTAAATATAGAGAGATGTAACCAACAAATCAGACGAAAATTAAATTGTAAATAAATTTGCTGAAAAAAATAGAAAAATAATGTTAATTCAATTAGGCTTTATAATAAACATTTAATAGCTATGAACTGTATATTTTATTGATTATATATGTATATCATCCTTATTCATATTTATTTAGGTAACTAGTCTGTAAGTAGAAAGTGATTAAGTGACAAAATTTTACTTCGAAAGAATCTATTATCGACTTTAGTTACGTATACGTACAGTATACGACAAGGTCGTAAGGACTTCTAATCAATATAAATATAAATTTTAGTGTTGACAATCAATATTGGTGGTGTGGGGGCAAAGCCCCCATGGGTTGGTGGTATCATTTAAGTTTAATCCACCCAGATATTGAACTCTAATTGCGCCTATGATCATACATATGCATTTACTAATTTATACTGGGTATACATTGAAAGTGACATAAACCCTAATATAGAAGAAATAATAAACTGTTATGCAAATTCGTCTTCAGAATTACAAAAATTACTTTACTATTTAACTATATTAATTACTATTTATTATTTATTATAACATTGAATAAAATATTATCTGTTATTTATTTAAATATTTGTTTTACAATAGTCATAAATTTATATAGTGCAGTACATTAATTTTATACAAGATTTAAAGTAAAAAAAAATTATAGTATATGCAACAACAATAATATTGAATAGGTAGCATTATAGATATTTTGTTATTTATTTTTATCATAAATTTTATCAATATATCCAAGGGGTAAAAGTTTAAATGGAACCTAAAGTAGAATAAGGTACTTACAAAAACAGTTAGGTGCATATACATTATTTTAGAAGAGGTTTTTAGAACTTCAAAACAATTATCTAATTATCTTAAAAAATATAAAACTGTAAAAAGTCCCATTATCATTTGCTATTGGCCTCATTGGTGAGGGGCCCTTTTATACTTCAGCCAACCAAAAAAAAATTTACCCAGGCTGCCACTGAACACACCTATATCGAAATCTAGTCGAAAACACAATGACGTAGCTGTAAAATGGTGCGCTGTAAATCACATGGTCGAGATGGTTTGATGCACGGGTGCATAATCCATGTGCACAATAAATATACAATTTATCGTGGTATTATAATATCTTGTACCCAGAAATCGAGAACTAAATCACTGGATTATATAAAATATTATGACGCATCAATGTTATAAATGGTCTATGCATGTCGAGTATATATTATACGAACGTGTCTACATAGTTGTGTAGTAAAAATACATAATAATAATGTATTAAAAAAAAATCACCAATAAATTCCCTTAAACATTTTTCTTTTATGCATAATACATTTTGACTTTTATACGTATCTAAATACGAAATACACATTTTTTTTTTGATGCTATCAATGAAACATTATAAGTCTGTATTTCGAAGTGTTTCATTTTTGTGACATACTAACAATTGTTACTTAATGATTATCTCTAACCATAGTCCAACCTTATAACTATACCGATCAGAAATAACCGTGTATTTTTGTACATGTAACTTTTAGTTCAGTTGATTCATAAATCAATTATTTGTATTTAATGAAGTTGTACTCAATATTATAAAATAACAAATATCATAAAACTAAAGTATTGTGTATAATAAACTCATTTTTAAACATTTTTTCTAATTTTTAATGGCTTTTTCAAATTTTAGGCTAAAAAAATAAATAACAATTCAAACTTAAAAAAAAAATTAAAAATTCTAATTTAAAAATAGTATTAGTGCATATAATGTATAATATATATAATACATTGCTAAAGTAGGATAATATTTTGCTAATTATTCTTTATATAACATTTTTTAATTAAAAAGAAAATAAAGTTAATAAGTTAGAGAGTTAGTTAATAAGTTGAAGAAAATAAAGACGGAAACAACTAAATTACAACAAATATTTCAAATTATACTGAGTGTATACATTTAAAGTTCGTAGTAGACTGTGCATTAATAAGACTCATAGACCATTATTTTAGCTTGATAATAATTAACTTGTTGAATGATCAATTATATTACGCAATCATGGAAAATTTGTACATTATATTCTGAGACATCAAAGTTTTAATCACAGTAAAGTAATAATTGTTATAGTAATATTCTAATACAATTTAATTAAATTCTATGTCGTAATAAGTAAATAATGATTATATTTTTAATGAAAAAAAATAATATATGAATATATTAAAATCATAATTCAAAAGATCAAATTTTTTTTTACGGTTGTAAATTAAGATATAGATATGACTCTTTGTAATATATACAATTATATTTTAAAATTAAAATTTTTTTGAATAAAAACCGATAACAATAATTTGTTTAATATAGAAGACTAACTTTTTAAATTCTATTGGTAACTTTATATACAATAGATTTATAAGTCATTTTAATGTATTTGAAACATTTACAAAATTATCAATATTATCATAGACAGTTTAATATCCAAAATTTATTTGTAAATGATTTCATACTTTTTAATAAAAAAAAAAAAATGAAATGGTTCGAATTCGAAAATTTAACACGTCTTTGGATCATATAATCAACACAAATCCACTTAAAAATAAACAATCAGCTTTATTTTAATCAACTATAATTTTATATTCTTATCCCATTTAATGTATTTTAAACACACTTTGTATTTTTTGAAAATAATAAAATTAAAAATAACTAACTAACAACTGTTATATTAACTCGATAGTAAATAAGCATTTAATCAAATCTAATCATAAAGGTATTATTTCATAAAATAAACCTTAGCCGTGTAAAGGTGTCATAGAAATAACTTTTACAATATCTACAACCTCTAATCGAGAATCTCTAATATAAAAAAAATTAATTATTTCAAATGAATCACACGTTGAGTAGTTTAACTATCAAGTAGCCAATTATCAAATAACTTAATTTAATTTTTGTTTTAAAATATTTTTCAATACAGCTATATACTTAGAGTCATTAAATTACTTTGATGCGTACAACTGATAAACAATATTACCGATTGTTTCTATAATCATTAGCACGTTGCTTTGTCTTAGCTCTGTTATAATATATTTTTCTTTTCCTGTACTCTGTCAAACTATATATTAATACGTATTTCAGTATAGTTAAATGATTGTAACTTTTTTTTATATTAATCTCCTATGAAACCAAAGTTTTAGTTCAAAATCTGAAACATTTTAAAATACGTGTTTTCCTTCAAATGAGTTAAGACGTCAATTATGTTTCAGCTACAGATGACTTTCTGGGCATACCTCGAAAGTTTATTAGGTAAACTTGATTTGATACACTACACAAGGATAGTTCGTCATTAACAATAAAGTTTAATGTGCTTGTGTGCAAGTCTACATATTTTATTATAAATAACATCGTGGACGATAAATTGCTGATTTTGAACAAGTAGATGCTACAGCAATATAATTAAACGACAAAGAAAATCATTAAAACGTGTTACGTGTATTTGCTATACGTTATTTTACAAATACGTAGAATTAATCTACATTGAATCGGTGATTGATTCTTTCTTAAAATATTTAATAATATATTTTCTATATCACATTACCTATGCGACATTGAAAATGTATATACATATAGATGAATGTAATATTGGAAGCGACACAGTGGGATAAAAGAATCAAGAAAAATAAGAAAAATATATTAAGACAATTATCGATTGTTAAAAAAAAAATCACGTATTTATTATGAAAATTTGAATCAAAATATCATAAAACTATGTTTGTTGGTGGAAGATTTTTCCTGAAGTTAGTCCAGAATGAAGAGGTACGGAGCGTGCGTTCAATAGTGGTAGGCGTATGGGTAAGCGGTCTTGTAGGCTGGGAAGTAAGACTTCTCGTATTTGCCCGGGTAGTATTTGCCATCATCGTAAGCGGCGTAGCTCGGATATGCGGCGTACGGTGCGGCGTACGGTGCGGCGTACGGTGCAGCGTATGCGGAGGGGTAGCTGTACGAGTAGCTGGAGTACGGGTAAGCGGAGTATGCGTACGAGTAGGCGGCTGGAACTGCGGCGGAGTAGGTCACGACCGCTGTAAATGAAAAGATAGAAAAAAACGGTTAAAGCATAATTACATTTATATTTATACGGAAACACTGGAACGTGTGGTCTAGAATTTATAATATTCGAGAACCGAAAAACTGGTATTGAGATTTTCGGGCAGGAGGAAGTTGTATATACTTACGAGCTGGGGCGGCGATGTAGGCGTGTTTCTTCACTCTTGCGGCTTCGTCAGCGTTGGAGGATGACTCTTCGGCGGCAACGGAGTACACGCTGAGGACGGCCAAGGAGACGAAAATCTACGGGGAGAACATAAAACGGAAAATCGGTCGATTATTATACACGTTGTTACAGGCACGAATGTCGTTATAACCGTGGTACAATATACGGTATGATCATTCGTTATATCTCATTTATAACGATGTCTATAGAAACCCTCGCGGAACGGACTCGCATGTACACGCATTTGCCCGCCAGAAAGAGATATTTCGATGTCCGTAACAGTTCTATACACACCTGTACACACCCCCACGACAATATTTATGAACAATATGTAATAGAAATATACCGTACGGGCACAATGATACACGCGACTGCTGTTATAACTGTTGGTTCCAACTCGGGCGCTGAGTGTTGTATCACGTGCGTGCGACGCATAACACGACGAACTATATAATGAATTCGGTCAATTAACGCAGAGTTTGATAAAGAGTTTCTCGCCGCCGTAGATTTGTGAAAACTTTGTTTTCCGAGCACGTATATAAATATTGTACTCATTTACAGCGACGGCGTCGGGATCTCCCCGCTTTCGGTGTCGAAAAACGTAAAAACGATATTTTTCGTTTTTCGAAATCGTCCGTGGCAAAATCTTATCGATACATCAAACGTAACACAATATTGTTAGACATAGGTACCGCAACGGTTGGTTTGATGTTCGATAATAATCGTTTCGTTCGCGTGGTGGCGTTCTCGGTTTCCTCGGTCCGTATATTCCGATTGGCACACGCCGCTGACGAGATGCGCGGCCAAAAGTGCTCTGCTATATAGTTATCGATTGGCTGGGACGCGACGGTCACACGATGAATCTCGGAAACCGTTCAATCGAAACGCCCTTTAATGGGATACATGTTATCGTGAGATATTATTTATGATTATTTATGCCACGACGGAAGGCTTATTGACGGATTAGATCCCAATAGAAATGTAATACGTGTTAAGCCATAACGGATAACAGCTGAATGCCCGTAACTTGTTCGTTTAATCTAACCGCGGTTTCGACGAAAATAATCGCGATAAATCGTGTCTACAATTTCGCGGATTTCGTACACCACAGTTATAGCACCATTTGAAATAAACAAGATTTCGTATACAAGTTTGGATAGCTGTAGTGGCACTTACCAGATACTTGAAAGAAGCCATTTCGTTTTTGTTTCTTTTGATTTGCCTGCGACGAATCTGCAAACTTCAACCTGCTGGCCGACTATGTGTGTTCTGAATGTCTGAGGACGAAGTGTGATGCCAAAGTCGGGTTTCGCGATCCTTATATATGCACCGATGGACGCGAATGATGTCCAACGCTCCTCAAGCACGACGGCTCGCCCCCTACCTGAATACCCGCGGCAGTGGCATTGCCTGTCCGAAAGGCTGTAATCCGGATTAACATCAGGCAATCAAGAGTGCAACGAATCATGAAGTTGTAGAAGCGTCGACCTTGATTGTTGTCGGGAGGGGTAATCCACATACACACACATAAAATCACATACACACATATATTTATGTTGTATAATAATAGTAACAACAGTAAACAACAAAATAAATACTGGTGAAGAAAAAAAAAGCATTCCTATTTATATCAAAGCAAATATTTTGTCAACTTATTCAAAGTCTTTAAATGTCTAATTTCAAGACCTGATTATCACTTTATACTTTAATTTCAATACGATTCATTGGTCATCTTTGCTCCCCAATCACAGATCCTTTGTTACGTGATTTTTGGGAGGGGTTATATGGTTTGTGGTAAATAATAGGAGTAAATAATTAATGTATGAATACATTTATTCGAGGGTATAAGGGTATAATATTCCCCCAAACAACCCCCTGAAAAAATACTATACGTAACCGTTTGCTATTCGTAAAATGGTAGTGAATATCCGCCGATAGTGTTATCTAATGGATCCCTATGATATTACTGGCTAGTCTCTGCATTAAATATTCTTATGTTTGCTTATTTGTATATGTATTCCTAAGGCGGAACTCCATGGACTTGTCAATACCATTAAATAATATATTTATCAAATTACCATTATAATGACGATTATCACTTATAGTTTAAAATATATTAATTGTACATAAATAACTGTTCAATGGACTACATCTTCGAAAACCATTTATCGAGGCTTAATCACTAGTGCTTTATATATGTCGACGATATAATCATTTTCACTTCATTAAAATCTCTTGATATTTTTGTTTGCACACTTTATTTCAGCTCTTAAATATTTAAAAACTTATGCAATTAACATATTTATCGCGTAGATATATTTTATTTATGTAAATTCTAATAAACACACTGTTATCTGCATGTTATTATTATTATTTTAATCATAATAAGTGTTTTTCGAACGAATTGGTATTTTTTCGGATGTGAACATTATGGTGATCTTTATTACACTGTCGAAATAAAATAAATGTATACAGTCCATTTAAGTACACGAGTTAAAGTGAATATTCAATATTTTAATCAAATAATGTTGTTATTGGTAGTTGCTCCAGAAAAATGCAATACTGTCATATTCAACAAGTGCAGACATTGTAATTACTCTATTGTATATTTTAATGACTATGTTATTCTTATGTTCCTAATGTCATTTATTTAGGTATCACTCTTTATTCTTAACTCTGTTGGAGACTAAAATGACTTCACTTTTAGCCGTTGTCTCTCAGTGGTTCAACTTTCTTAAGACCACAACCAATGCTTGGTTGCATTTCAAGTCTATAATAATTTACCGCACTCTCGAACGATTCAAACTCGATTTCTATATAAAAAATAAGCTTCATATTTCCTGTTTCAAAAATATTATGAATCAGAAATGTAAGATCCACTATTTTTCCTGCTAGTGAAGTCGAGTCAATCTGCTTATCATTCAATATTAGGTGTCGATTACTTGCTAAAAAATTTTTATTTAAATATTTTTGCGTACTTAAACCATGTCTTTAATCTTTAATATTTAATGCTAAATATTTTCCACAAGCGACACATTCAAAAATCAATATCTATTTTCTTAATTATAATAAATTCCTTCTTAATTTTCCATCAATTAATATGAAATTATCTAACAAAATTCTCACTTAATATACAACCATACAAGTCTCTTTTTAATACACCTTTGGTTCAAAATTAAAAGCATTTTTATACTTATCTTTCCAAGAAATAATAGCCGATATCTTACCAAATAATCAAAACAACTCTTTCAAATAAACTTAATGTTACTCATAGTAACTTAATTTTGGGTAATACCGATGGTTCTGTTTCATCTATTTTTGCTGATAATAAATTTTATATTCCTGATTTTCATGTCTCTTTTACAAATAATCTGCCCATTTTATATTTTTTTTTTTACAACAGCAATAGTGAAGTTATAGGGGTCAAAGAGTGCCGGTTGCCCCTCAATGACCTAAAACTTTACTGCATCAGGTTGATAAACAAGACTATTTTTAGTTGAATATTCAGCTTATAAGTATTGAGCAATCAAATTTAAAAAAAAATCATAAGCTAATTTCAAATATTTCTGTGGTTTATGTTAAATGGTTAGTTTTGGCACATTTTAAATAACTATAAACTTTAAGTTATTATAATATACGAGTATACATATATTTTGTAAATCAACCAAAATCTTATTTTAATGTCAATTAAATTGTCATGACGTCAAATCAGTTTAATCTTATTTATAATTAAAACATACGCTTTGTGTTATCCATTTGGTTTTGAATTTTCAGTATAGTTCAGTAGTATATTTTTTGTTTGTTATTGCATTTTGATATATCGTCGTCATATAATGTCGCAAAAGTAAACGTAAAAGTAGTCATAAATGTTTATTATTTTTTAGAGTTGGATGAGTATTGTTTTTTTGATGTTGAATCGAGTAGATTCGTGTTCAAAATTTGAGTACTCAAAAAATGTCGAGTAGACACTTGAAAAAAAGTTGAGTACTCGGAAAAAAATCGAGGAGTTGAAAATATAGAGTACACGAGAAAAAAGTCGTAGTTACCAATCTGCATAAAATTTCGTTATCATAATAGTAAAGTATCAAAGCAATATTGTTATTAATCTAAGCCATCAACCTTCTTGAAATTTTCTATCAGAAATATTTGACTCCCAGTTATTTATACATAGTTTTAACATTTATTTTTAAATAAATTAGTGAATAAATTCAAGTATTTGATTCAAGTCGGGTACTCGATTTAAGTCGAGTAAAGTCAAACACTCAATTTAAGTCGAGTAAAATCGAGTACTCATGTTAACTAGTGCAAACATTTTTTTTTGTCGAGTCGAGTCATGTACTCGAATTTTTTTATAAATTCGAGTACTCGTCCAACCATTATTTTCATTAAGAAAAGGTTATAAAAAGTTACGATTTTAAAAAAGAAATTTCGTTATTATAAGAGCTGGGCTATTTATCTTACTTTCACTGAAATAATTTACACGAAGGAGTATGATATAGGATTTGAAATTGAAAAAGAATACAATATAATAATTCGTAAAATATTAGTAATTAAAAATACATATCTAATTAAATTGTAAGATACGAATAAAAATTTAGCTTTTTTAATAACCATAGATAAAAATTGTCATATTAAAAATTTTTGCATCGAATGGTTAAAAAAATACCAATGACATATATATATATATAATCATATAAATAGTCATAGTCATATAGTCATATAAATGAAAGAGGTATTCTATGCATTTACAATGAATTATACTCGTATTTATGATAATTACCAAAAGGAATAATTTTTTTCATATTTTTTATTTCATACTTTTACTTAAATTAGTCGGATATATTATTTATCTACTAAATTTATACAAGTAATAATAATAACAATAATGATAATAGTAATAATATAATAAAAGATTTATTTTATGGTATGGTTTTGAAAAATGTTCTTCCATATATAAAAAATACCTAGATTTACTACTGTACAGTAGAATACTAAGCTGTCGTTGAAGCTCTAATACTCATATGAGTACTAGTCTTGCTCCAATAATTCTTGACAGACAATGAATCTACATCATGTCTATAATCCCTCACATTTTGTAACTCATTCTTATGTATTCAATGCCTTTGTTTTAAATTATTCACAAATAACATAAATAAAATGACACTATTTTATTGTTATGGGTTGGATTTCAATAAATTGGAATACACGGTAATGAAACTATCGATAACCTAACCAAATATGGATCTTTTTTAATCCAATTTTACATCGTCCCATAACTAATATTAAGACTATTTTCTGGACTAACCTCACAGCAAACTTTGCTTTTAGATATATAAACATCGTTCCTAATATCCAAAACAGAAACTTTCTTAGAAATTTTGAATGGGAAAGAATTAAATGTTTTTTATTATTTATATAGAACTCAATATTAAAATGAGATATCTTTCACAAAATATAAATAAATAATGTAAAATTTTTGTATCATAAAATATTTATTAAATGTAGATTATAAATTATAAAAGGTACTTACTATAAATCAGAGAACAAAATCAAATTTATTAGGTTTTTTTCTATACAATTTTCTAAATTGTTTTTTTTTTTAATAATATTTTTAATTATTATTTATTAATATTTACATATTATAGTAAATTGATATTTTAATTTTACTATGATTAGGTATAGATTAAAAATTAAGTAATAAAATATTTTTCATTAAATACGGGACATAGTAATAAAACCATTTTTTTTTTTTTTTACAATCCTTAGATTGGTTAAATGATTTCGATGGCTTTCGACTTATCCCTATCCATTACAGCCACTTTTAGTTCCATATAATTGGTTTTCCCTATGTCTTCTATGATCTGTTTCATAAATGGTGTTCTTGGTCTACCTCTTCCAGCTATTCCCTCTATCTTTCCTTCTATTATCGTCGTTATCCATTAATTGTTTCACATAATATGTCCATTTTTTCCTCCTTTCTCTGATTATCTTCTTATTATTTCTCTTATTATTATATAGAACCTAGTATTAAGATATACTAAGAATATTATGAATTTACTCTTAAACACCCCCCCAGAAAAAAATTGTATCTATGCCACTGCTTCTTTAAACAATTCTTGAAATTCATTAGTTATGTTTTCACGTTATTTTTGAATAGTAGAAACAATGATTTTAGCAAAATTAACTGTTCTTTTCAAGTCATCATTTTTTAATTTCATTAATTTTTTGCAGAAACTACATAGAGGTGAACCATATGGAATTTAACAACTTATGAAAAAGAAATAATTTTAATTTTAGTTGAATATAACACTTATATTGAAATACAAATATATGTAATAATAATTTTTAATATTTACAGAATCTGGTTTTACTATTTCAGAATATTGTAATTACTAATACGTAACTAAACAATTTTAAATTTTGAAGCATTTATAACTTGATATGAGACCAGAAATATTATATCTTATAAACTACTCATATATTGCGGTTACGTGATAGCCAGTGTAAAGCAAGGTTTATAATTAAATATCAACCTTGATTGTTAAATAATGGTTAAGTGTGTTATGATTTGAGAATACAATTTAAATCAAATATTAACTACCATTCAGTATACACAGTGGTGTACATACGCGTACATACGAAAAAAATAAGATAACGATTATTTTTGTTACCCCCCCCCCAGAGCAAGATTGAATGTATGCCACTGAATATACATAAGTATATTTTTAATCGTTATAATGACAAAACTTATAAAAAAGAGTGTTTAGTAAATTCCTTGGTATCTGTCATATTTGATATAAGAATGAGAAAAATATAATATTCACCTATGTAAAATCAATAATTATTTATAATAGTCAACGGGAGATTTCAATACACTAATCTCTCAACTTCAGCATGCCTAGAACAATGTCCAGAACAAGACTTGGTCTAATAACCACAATCTACGCAGATTTATTATTATCAAATTCAACCGACAACATATAGGATACACACTTTTGCCTGCCCACGCATCTAAGTAAGATCTAAATGACTCTTCATTCCTTACGTTACATTTCATCGAATATATGAGAAAGATTTCAAATATCACTCCATTCTCGATATCAATCACGAACTTGTGGTTTAAACAAATTATAATAACCTTTATATTGGATGATGGTTTTTATTACTACATTAGAATCATCATATTGTTATTATTGTTATTTTTAATTTACCTTATAATTATTATCTAACTGATTTATTGTTATACATTACAGTTGCTGATGTCGATTTGTCAAAGTATAACTAAAAAAAAAAAAGATAAATAAAATAGTACAGGTGTGTGTATATCGATACTCGTATAAATAAAATACATATATTTACTAACTGCTGCAGTAAATTTAGTTTTACCCAGAGATAATTATTATAAATTACAGCTGTACATGTCATACCGCCGTAAGTACGCGTTACCCATGAAAATAATTGCGAGCTTATACCTTCCAAATTTCAAGTTTTGTGTTGGACCTAACATTATTTATGGAACAAAAAAAAAAAAAAATAAAAGAGTACCAATATAAAAAATTGATATGCTAAATGCTAATTTTATTTTTTATATTAATGCTCGTAATGTAAGATACAATATTATTTCATAATTTTTTAAGATATATGGTATAAATGGCATTTAGTACATATTTCAGCACTTTTCGTATTTTTAAGTGCTATAGGTCCCGAGTCTTACTTATTATTACTTTTGCTAAAATATCTTCATGATTACGTAAATAATTTCAGTAACTACCTTTTAAGATTTCTTTAAGGGTAGATTATAGAAAATTCCATAAATTGACATAAAAGTATTTTTATAGACAACTTTTATAAATAAAAATCAAATTCCGATAAGACGGAATATAAACGTTTTTATCCCTGTTCACTCTCTAAGTAGAAGGTTATGGTAAAGTCTTTTTTTATCTCATTCCTACAACATTATATATATATATATATATATATATAAACCACCAACATTTCAGGTCTCTAGGCCAAGTGGTATGATCTGAACGATGAGTGAGTGCATTGAATAAATACATTATAATATCATATATAATGTTGAACAACGATACCATGGGATGCAATAATCAAGGAAAAGAAAAAATATATAATAACAAAAATATCGATTGATGAAAAAAAATCACGTATTTATTATGAGAATTTCTATCAAAATGTCTTAAAAACTATGTTTGTAGCCGGAAGATTTTTCCTGAAATTAGTCCAGAGTGAGAGCGGTACGGAGTGTGCGTTCAATAGTGGTAGGCGTATGGGTAGGCGGTCTTGTAGGCTGGGAAATAAGTCTTCTCGTATTTGCCCGGGTAGTATTTGCCATCATCATAAGCGGCGTAGCTCGGGTATGCGGCGTATGGTGCGGCGGCGTATGGTGCAGCGGCGTATGCGGTGGGATAGCTGTACGAGTAACTGGAGTACGGGTAAGCAGAGTATGCGTACGGGTAGGCGGCTGGAACTGCGGCGGAGTAGGCCACGACCGCTATAAATGAAAAAGTAGAAAAAAAACGGTTAAAGCACAATTACATTTACATTTATTTATATGGAAACACTGGAGTGCGTGGTTTAGGATTTGAAACATCCGAGAACCGAGGAAATCGTACTGAGATTTTCGGACGGGATGAAGTTGTATATACTTACGAGCTGGGGCGGCGATGTAGGCGTGTTTCTTCACTCTGGTGCCATCGTCGACTTTGGGGGATGCCTCTTCGGCGGCAACTGAGTACACGCTGAGGACAGCCAAGGAGACGAAAATCTACGGGGATAACACAAAACAGAAAATCGGTCGATTATTATACTCGTTGTTACAGGCACGAGTAGTGCTATAACCGTGGTATGATACTGTATGTATAACGAGCGTTTGTTAAATCCCATCAAAAACGAAATCCGTGGAAAACTCCCGCGCAAAACTTAGGATTGCATGTGAACGCGTTCCCCCGCCAGAAAGAGATCTTTCGATGTCAGTAACAGTTTTAAAGTACAATGTGCACGAAGTATGCCGTACGCATACGACAACAGTTTATGAACGATACGTATTATGTATACTTTTGTAGGCACACAACGATTATACGCACGATTTCTGTTGCAAAGTACAAGGCCGCGCAACAGCCGTTTTCTGGCGGCCGTTATGATACGTACGTTATCCCGAGGAAAAATGATAAATTCGGGCGATTAATTTCGAGTAGGATTTCCCGCCGCTGTGGATTTACAAAAACTTTGTTCTCCGCGCTCGTACATAAATATTATAATGTGGCACCGTCTGGGTCTCCCTTAAGTTGAACGTAAAAGTTATTTGACACCGTAGCCCGGCGTTCCATCGGCGGTTTTCTCCACGCGGTATTATTGTGTTTTATTAATACATATCGTTCGGCGGAAACCACGCGTATCGAATCGCTCGTATCGTTTTCCAAGATCTTTAGGGGTAAAAAATTGTCGATACAACAAATGCTGATGACCGTTTCGAGTTTTTTATCCGAACGCCTACGTTCGATAATAATCGGTTCGTTCGCGCGTCGGCTACCACTGTTTTCCCGTGTTCCCTGCGCGCACGGTCATCGGCTTCCCACCAGCTTCCCACCAGATACGAGGCAAATATGGCCAACAGTTATTTCATGATCGAGCAGATTGTTGATTAGTTCGGATGCGGCGATCGCACGATGAATCCCGGGAACAGTTCGATCGAAACGCCCTAAAGGGTTTAAAGGGATACGTGTTGTCGTGAGATATTGTTATGCCGCGACGGAAGGCTTATTGACGGATTGGATCCCAATGGAAACGTAATACGTGTTAAGCCATAACGGATAACAGCTGAATGCCCGTTTCGACGAAAATAGTCGCGATAAATTGTGTCTACGGAACGAATTACGGCTGGTAGGTACACAAGTCTGAAAGACGACACAATCATTGCGGCCGATATCGTACACCACAGTTATAGCACCATTTGAAATAAACAAGATTTCGTATACAAGTTTGGATAGCTGTAGTGGCACTTACCAGATACTTGAAAGAAGCCATTTCGTTTTTGATTGTTTTGAGTTGACTGCAACGAATCTGCAAACTTCAACCTGTGGGTCGACGATGTGCGCTCTGAATGTCTGAGGACGAAGTGTGATGCCAGAGTCGGGCTCTGCGAACCTTATATATGCACCGATAGACGCTCTGTCCAACGCTCCTCGAGCAAGACGGCGGCGCGTCCCCTACCCCGAGTACCCATGACGGTGACAAGGGCGTTGCCTGTCCGAAAGGCCAAGATCCGGATCAGCGTCGCGCGATCAAGAGTGCAACGCATCATGACGTTGTAGTCGTGTTGACCTTGATTGTGATCGGAGGGGTATGACACGCAAAAAACACACGTTACCGCAGTCTTTGTAATATAATAATAATCACAATAATCCCAACAGCGGACGAAGAAATAAACATAGGATATGAAAATAAAGGACAAAAAATATTACAATATAATATTTTACGCTTCTGGTACGTGGAGTCCATTAGGCGTTGTCGGATGTGTTCATTGTCGGAGGTGTACGCTGACCAATACGGTTCATATCTTGCCGAATCCGACAGCTCTTAAGTCGTCTGCAAGGTACATCACTGCCGAATATTTCGCATTTGGTGGCCGCTTGTTTATAAACATTGTTGTGACACACACTTACCGTACACAGTTACATTTCTGGAGCTGAAAAGCCCGTTATAACCACATCTTGTTCGGTTATGACAAATCTGGATTTGATGCGTCCAACGCGTTGTGTACGATCTATTTTTGCAAATCCTTCTTTTTTTTTTAAATCCTGTGCAGACATAGTTGTATCGTTTTGGCACTCGTTCCCGGAACATATTCTCGGATATAATATTTTTTTTTTTACCAAACATTTTGTTCGACGTTTTTTTGGTACCTGTATACATAATTTGTTTCCGTTTTCGTGTCTGCTTTGAACCTTTTTGTAATGTTTTACATTTTTGTAAACGTTCACATTTTATATTTATTGATTATCGCGTGTGCTATGGTTTACTTTGAAAGGTCTCCATTGGGAAATTCACTTACCGTCTACATGGTCCACGTGTACTTTATTTTATTAAACTTTATTTAATTTATTTTTTTTATTATTATTTTTTTTTTTTTTTTGTTCATCGACAAGTACTATTAATAAAATAATAAAAGAATAAAATAAAAAACAAAAATAAGTAAATAGTTAATGTTCATAAAATAATATCCCAAAAAATTAATGCTTAGTCTAAAGTATAATTATATTTGTAAAGTACGATCAGTCTTGAATTAAAAATATAATAATACTCCAGACTAGGCATTTATTTTTTTTATTTAATAATTTTTAGTTGGTACATTATAGTCAATTTTTACAGTTGTCTTTTTAATAATCTTTAAGTTATATTTTATAATTTTAACCAATATTGTTTTTTTATTATACTTTTTGAGTATTTTCTTAGGTCATCAACATCATTCCATCTCTACTACAATGATTCATATAAAGGTATAGGTCAAAGCCGGATCTAGGTCTCTGGTGGTCGGGGTGCAACTACAAATTGGTGGCCCCTTAAAAAAATATTTCACTTATCAATTTAGATGTAAATAATGTATATTTATTTTATGCATATTGATACATTAAATAAATAGAAAACACAAACATTTAAATATCTAAATAAATAAATAAATCAAGAAATTATTTATAAAACACACTATTCATACACCTCTAATATGATGTAGTAATTATAATATTAAGAGATTACACAAACAACACAAGTTTAAAGTAAATCAAATATAAATTAACAATTTAAATTCAACTCACACTATGGAATTATTAAATAAGTAAAATGAAAGAATAAAACTATGTCATACACAAATAATATAATTAACATTATCAATCTTTATAATTTCATAAATACATTTTCTTCAAACAATTTTTTATTCTTGATTTAACATTAACAAAATTATTAATAATTTGTGAAGTATTGATTTCTTTAGTCCTTCCTCTTTCTATATTCGACACTACATGGAGTTATAGTACTATGTATGTGCATGAATGCACGATAAGACTTTTTATAAACGTTTCGCAGTTCGTCTTCATCTAGTTCATTTATAAGACCCCGATGTGTATTTACGAGTATAATGATTTATTTTCCAATTAATCCGGCTTTATCTTGAGAAGTGTCAGTAGTTAAATTTTATCTTTGTTCGAAACTTTTAACAAGGTACCATAATAATGTTCTATATTTTTTCTCTACTGAAATACTATTTTTGTATTTTTTGTCGTGGATATAGTTATATAAGTGTCGATTTTAAATTTTCAAATTTGAAATTGATATTCTAGAAGTGGATAATTTTCTGATAATATACAAATTTAAATTCTAACTGATGTATTAATATTAATCCAATAAGCTTAGATTGGAGAAATGATGATCTGTTCAATTACGATGGCTAGTAAAACCAATAATATCTTTGAGGATTTAAAATTAGTTTTATAAGTTTTATAAATGTATCAATCAAGAATGTATATTTTTACAGACAAACGACAGTGATTAAAATAATTTTAAATATTATTAAAAAACAAAGAATTCTATTAAAAATATACTTTATAAACACATTAATTCCCTGAATTACAATTAAAAATATTCTTGTATATGCATTACATAAAAATAATTTAATTAATAAGTAATTTGTTGAGGTATAGTATCCGTTTTTGTAAAATCCAAATAGTTCATTATTACAATTCCTACTATTTTAAATTATGAACAAAGAGAGGAATGAATTTAAAATGCAAGTTACATTTCTAGAATATCTGTATATGAAGTTTTACGTCAACGTCTCGTTTTTGATACTAAATTTGTATAATATTTTTTATAACGTCACACAAATTTACAGAAATCCAACACTGGAATATTTAATTTACATTTCTCATCCTTGTACATGTAGTAATCGTATTATTTATTCAACTATTATTCCAGAATGTTTTAGTATTATTACATTCATTCGCTAAATCGTAAACAAACATATTATACTGTAAAATCAATTATTGTTTTGTTATTATTTATTAATATCATCGTTATCGTTAAATTATAGTAGGATTTAATAATAAATTAACTCCATATTGCTAATGAAAACTTTGATTTACAATTTTGAAATGCACGAAACGGAATTTCATCTCATAGCAATGAACATTATACGATTGTGTTTATGTACAAATGTACACTTTTAAATTCATTGGACAAAAGCTCTTGTAAATATACACAGATAATTACATTTATATAAATATATATAATGATATATGTAAGTGTATTTATGTATCAATAGGTTTATGCATTTTACAACGATAATTTTTTTAGATTTTTATATAAATAAAGAAAAACAAAAATTTAAAAAAAAAATTGGGGGCAATACCCAATTTGCCTCCTACCAGAAAATACCCCAGAAGTGGACAAGGTTAAATTCAATTTTTAATTAGAGACGCAAAATTAAAATTTATATGTGTCATCAGATTACCTCTACTATTTTATAACCAAATTAAGCACTGATTATGATTGATAATTCTTGTAATTTAAAATTGTAATCAATTGTTTATTTAATATTCTGTATTTTATTTTATAATATATAATAATTGATATTATCATAAAATGTACATTTATTTTATTAACCTAATATTGTTAGTGACTCAAATTATCAATCTTTTCGAATAATAATTATAATTATGATCTGCAGTAGGAACAATAATAGCCTATATAATGGCATTGAGCCTTTATAACATAATTTATTTTATATAGGTACATTTTAAATACCTTAAAAGTCTTTACTCAGTTTTTTTTTTTTTTGTATACTAACACTTAAATTTGTAAAACATCCATTAAAAACATCCATTTTAGTAAATTGAACTCAACGCAAAAAATTACTTTTTTAATACAATTATTATTATCATTGTTTTTAAATTAAAAATGCTACATCATTGTATAATGCAATAGATTCACGTTGAGGTAACTGAAGTCTTTTCAATAATCCGTCGGTATAATAACTGTATATATTTTTCAAGTATAATCAAGTTTACAATATTCAATGTCGGTCATGATTTTATTTATTATTAACACTATTAAGCAATGCACTACATTTTTATTATTTTTAATCCACCCAATTTTCAAAAAATTAAGTAACACACTTAAGCCAGAAAGTAAAATGTATTTTTTTTTAATTTTTTTTTTTTTTTTTTTTGTTTAAAGGAACAATCAGTAATAACTAAACACACCTACACGATATCATCGCGAAGAGATGTAATTTATTTAGATAAAATAGTTGGCATTTTTTCAGTAATACGAAATATATGTTCTGAATAATATCCTACATAATGTCTTTCGAGTCAGTTTACACTAATATTTCAAAACAAACATACAAATCGAACGATGTAAAGAGCAGAATAAAAGAAAATACAAACAGCTAGATTAGAATTTATTTTTTACCAAAAATGTTAGTTGGTATCTTTATTTTTTCGCTATACAGCTAATGCTGTCATGTATCTTTTATTTCTCTGAACAGTCTGAACTACAATTGTATATTGTCATTCCAGCTGTGAAGTCGGTACTTATTAAATGTAAATGGAATCAGTGCGGACTACATGTATGCATGTATTGTATATTTTTAAGTGCCATTGGCAAGTTCTATAATACTCTCATAGTACCTACTCACGTGAAGATATCAGCGAGATCAAACAATGTATATTACATACACACGAATGTGTTTTGAAAACTAGTAACAAAATGTTATTGTTTTGTCAAAATCTAATAGCACTAAAGCGTAAACGTATATGATACATCGTATAAATTCAACGTACCGTAACAATACAACTTTATAAAATAAATGTTAATATTATTTAAAAGTTATGAAAAAACATTTATCCTTTCAACGCAGTCAAAATTGTGTTATACACGTTTACGTAAGTAAATATACTCTATATGTATTATTTTAATCATGTATAAATCATTAAAATAATACATGCAATATTTCTCGTTATTATATGTTATCGGTTTTTTATATTTTTTTATTTATTAAAATATAACAGATACTCTACTGAAAAAAATAAATAACACTCATATCTTAAAACGCAACTTGATTTTATCCTATCATACATAGAACATAGGAAAAGAAAGATGTATTTTAGAAGGTGACTTTTTTTTATTTTTCAATGGAGTTTGTGTTATATTTTAATAAATAAAAAAAAATTAAAAAATTATAAATTGTAATAAGAAGACATTTTTTGAAATATTTCAGGCGCGAGTAGCTCCTCTTCATAATTTCCTTCTATATATATATATATATATATAATTTAATTAGCTGTGTTTTTTTTTTTTTTTGTTAATCATTTTCTATTGAATTATCGAACATAAAAATTATAGCAACTATGAGTTACCTTGTATCCAATGATAAATTGAATACAATTTACAAGTGTTTCACAATTAAACTTCGATCAATTTGAACAATCGGAATATCAATAAGTTAACACCATACTTTTCAGGAAGTAAAAAGCTTGTAGAATATTGTACAAACTGACGTAGTTGATATTGAAAAATCGCAATGAAAAAGCATTTGCAATTTTGTTTGTGCACTTGTTTGTGGTGTATTATAATACGTAGGTATTCGTTGCATTTATACGTATTCGCTACATTTACATTGTACAGTGTGAATGTACACGTTTAATCGACATGTATCATAAGACTTTTTTATCTTTATCTTTACAGTACATATAATAATATAAATTATATCGAAGTTTGAACGGTCTTTGTGGAGCCCCACGAAAATCAACATAAATAATATAATAATTAGACACGCGTTCCATGAACAATTGTTCACTTCCGTACAGCGCTATCAAATGAACCCTGCAAATTCGCAATTCCTGCGAACAATTGTTGTGTATGGTAATAAAAACTGTACCATATTTATGTTCAGTACCACTCTGTATACATAGCGCAAACAAATGTCCGCGATAACAAACACCTGATCTCACGCGACCTGTGTTATATATTTTTATACCATGTATACCTGTACTATAATAATCGCGCACAAGGTACTATATATTTTATATGTATGGCTTTATACACATGGCGTATTTGTTTTCAATAACTATGTCTTTTTTTTCATATCTCACTTAGTCAATAATAATACTTTCAGAAATTTAACTTGAGTGTCATTTATCTCGCGCGAGTGTTATATGTACCTTTATATACGCGTCGCGATGTAAATGTCAAACGAAATATTAAAAAATTATAATTGATCAACAGTAAAATCGTTATAAATGGATAATATTTTCTTTTTTAAAAAAAACTATCTAAATAACGCGTATTTGTTGCTACACATTATTTAAATATATATATACACGTATATAACACGATGCATAAATTGTTTCCAGTTTTTTTTACACTACGCACTCTATGTCCTGACCTCACCTTTAAGCAGCTAGTGTTTGATATGTATAACATGAAATATTTTTTTTTGTTAAAATCAAACCGGTATTATATATTTGAAAAAAAAATAAAAAAAAATATGAAATATTATAACTGAATTAATTGCGTACCTCGGGTTTCAATAAAAATTTGAATAATTATTGAATTTCTAAGTGGTATGCATAAAAATAAAATAAAACATGAGGAAAAACATCCTATCAAATGCGAATATAACAAGTTAGGTTATAAAATGAAACCAAATTAATCATGTCATTCTATATTTAGATTTACTGTAGACTACAACCATCGGGAATACAAATGTTTTCGGGGAACTGACGAGCATATTGTTCTCTTCCATCAAACTCTCATACGTACACACATATTAATATTTATATAATATAAAATAAAAAATGTAACGTATAATTCGCTATTACGTGCGGCGTAATAAAAGGGCCTCGAGTTCACGTCTGAACCTAAATAACCCGTAACTTTATTACAGGCTATGTACGGTGTTGTAAAGTTCCTAACAAGGGACGCTTAGGAATACAAACGACGCATATGAAAAATAAAAAAAAAAACATGTTTCTACGTTTGCGTTTCGAACGTACGCCATTCGGTTCACGTTATTATCATTGTCGTTTTCCGCTGGCGTTGGCGGAAACGTTCGCAATGCCAAACACCGGCGGGTTGACCGCGACGATAGCGAAAACCCATCTGGGTACAGCCATCCTGTCGGTTCGCAAAAACGGTACACTGCATCCCGTGTTGTTCTTGTCCACAGCGGCAGCGTCGAGGGCGGACATCATCACCACGACCAGCTGCAGCCGTCGCCGGACCCAGCCGATGTGACGCGGCACAAGATTGTGGTGATGGGCGCGGCGCGGGTGGGCAAATCGTCGCTAATCACGCAGTTCCTGTACCGGAAGTTCTCGTCCAAGTACAAGCGCACCGTGGAGGAGATGCACCACGGCCAGTTCACGGTGGAGGGCGTGAAGATCGACCTGGACATACTGGACACGTCCGGCGCGTACGAGTTCCCGGCCATGCGGGCCCTGTCTATATCGTCGGCCGACGCGTTCGTGCTCGTCTACTCCGTCACCGACCCGGACTCGTTCCAGCAAGCGGCCGCTATCAGGGATCAGATCGTCGAGACCAAGCACACGGCCGACGTGCCGATCGTCGTGGTCGGCAACAAGCTCGACCTGGCCAATGCGGACCGCAAGGTAAGTGGGAGCCACCGTCCCCGCGCGACCCGAAAACTTACCGTCCGCGCTCGGTCGTGGATGTGTCCCCTTGCAACGCGAATACTTCGTTATCGTATTACCGTCGACCGAGCGGATGGTTTTTGACCACGTCGTCTAACCGGGTGTAACTGATATATATATTTTTTTTTTATTAACCAAGCCTAACCTTCCGATCGAGTTCGATCTTAACTTCGGGCAGTGGCCTATATATGATGGAGTGTATTTAATATTTGGAACCCCGTCTAAAATTCACGTTTAATAAGACTCACGTACGAATATATTTTACCCAACACCGCGGCAAGGTACAAAAAAACATTGCAGACGTATATAAATAAAAACAATCGATTAAGCATAATATAATACAGTACGATTCAAGCATAAGTACTTAAAAGATATGTATAAGTACGTTAAAACATTTGATTAAACGCACTGAATATATAGCTCATATAACCCCCCTCCCATTTCCTAAAATTAGTTCCTATATACGCCACTGATTTCGAGAGCAATACGCATGTTGTGTACGGTGTATGAAAACGGACACGAACGAGATGTTTATAGTGTATTGTAGAATGTTTAATACCATACAAATACGACCAACGAGGAAGAAAATGCCCAGTCTACGTGGACGTACCTAAAACCCAAATTTAGGTGATGCTTGAAGTATCAATACAACACAGATCCGCAAGGGCTACGTACATGCAACCTTGTTTTACCTTTTATCCTTGCAAAAACAATCGGTCACTATGTTAAATGGTTACATTTTTTGCAAGACTTCTATTTGTAGTATCCCCGAACGAGTCCACAGAAAATTATTCTCCTAACATTTCAAAATAATTTACATAATTTATATGGTTTATATTTGATATTAAATGCACACGAATATTACACACATGTATATATTTATCTTTCAAATTTTAATTTTATTTCAATACAATTGAATGAAAACATTCTTAGATTCGTTATTTTTCATTAAGGAAGATTATTGGATAATTTAAGCCTCCCCAAGTCTTTCACCCTTTAATTAGACCTATAGTTTTTTTTATAATACTACGTCTTTATTAAGTACATGACGCGTTTACATAATAAACGTCGTCTATATAATTCCAACAGTTGGCAAAACAGAACAGAAACAAACGGAAATCAAAAGTTAATAAAAAAAATTGCATGAAGTAAATAAAACATTGTACGGACTACATTATCCGTCCAGATTTACGTTTTCCACGTCGATCCGATTTGCAAATGTTGCATGAGTTCACGTGTCCTGATGATTTCTTGGCGGGTTACACTCGATAGAATTACTATAAAAATCTACTATTAGTATAATAAAAAATTCTTCATTTTCGCACATATCATAATTATTATCTACATTTCTGCATATACTATCAAAATTCATTATTATTAAATAAATAACAATAAAAATAGTTTAAAATAATATTTTATTACAAAAAAAAATTCAAATTAAAGGGTATATTGACGGTATGGCCGATTATATATTTATATACTAACAGTATAAATGATAAGTTTGCTTATGATAAGTTTAAAAATGTCTTAAATTACAATTCTTTTAAGCTATTGATACTTGTGAATTTTAAAATTTGATCCCGACCATCTTTACAATTGAATTCATCCATTATGGACATGATGCATTATCTCGTTCTTGTCGAATCATTCCGTGCAAAAAAAAAGTATTTGCGGAAATCAATAAGTCGTTTTTATCTTCTAAATAGCACACTTGGAAGATTTATTTGATGTTTTTCCTTCTATTCACGTGATATTTCCAATTAATTATGATTTGTATTATCTTTCAAAGTGTATAGATTAGTGAATAAAATAAGACGTATTATGTGCATATTTGATCACATTTTTCTTCAGAATTAATTTACCAAAAGAACATTTTCAACCTCATATCAAAATTATATTAATCTTATAACATTTATATATTGTTATTAATTAATTTCTATAGGTACATATATTTTATAAAAATATATTGTTTTTGCATTTTCAGCGGCATTCGATGAATATTTTTAGTAAAATGCGTAATCGACGATAAACATTATCAATATATTATTTATTTAAATGAAACTAAAAAAATTTAATTTGAATTAACAATTAAATGCCGTTTTTGAACATAATGTATAAAAATTTCAGGTAAACATCTGAGAAACTTATATGTACGATAGCCGTACTATGGTCACAAAATCGATCTCGACCGAATAAAAATATTTTAATCAAACATTTGTAAATTATTAATCTAAAATCAATATATCCTAAAATGTACTATCAATCAACCTCAGGTGTCTAAGCCTCTTGATCTCCCTTGACAGCCGAAACGACCACTATTCGTCTCCAGATGACAGAACACAAAACCAAAGACGACGTACTGTAGTATGTGAGACTTAAAAGTAATCCATCGTCGAGTACAATAAAATATAAATATCCATTAACAAAAGCTCTAAAAATATAAATAGGACTTTAGCAGTGAAAATACAATTTGAAAAATATAAATAAATCCACTCGATATTGAACCGTCATAAATAGAAAAAATTAAATTTAAAAAAAAAATCTCATACGGTAATAAATATATTACTTCAGTATGAAAATATACTGTGTTCACAATGTATTGAATTCTTTTTATATTATACATTTTTAATACTACGTTTTTATTATATAATTTTATGACATCGATATTTGTTTAAAAAGAATTATCGCAGAAAAAATCTTGACTCATAATTACAATAATGACTAAGCGTCTGCATTATAACACTCAATAATTCTTTTTTTCCTAAATTTCAAGGTTTATGTTTATTGTATCATTGACATTTTATTACATCAAACTAAATTAGAATACCTATTGAATATTTATGTGATAGAAAATAAATAATATTAATTGGGTTATGTTTATATTAGTGTTTACTATTTGGATAATTTTAATGTAAAACGAATAACTTATTAAATAACATATAAAAGATGCGTAATTTGTATTTCAATGATTTTTGATGAAATTTAAAAAGAATACGATTAATATTCTACTAATTAGCAAATTCTAATGATACACATTTAAATAACCTTCATCAATTTATCGAGGAAACTAATTACATTTTAATGAATTAAAAATACACAAATACTTGAGTTTTAGAAGGTTGAACACTTTTCGGTGCCAAAAACGTATATTTTGTAATTTCGAAATAGAATCATTTTAATGACCTTCTGAAGTATTATAATAAATACCTAATTAATAACTAAGATCACTGTATAAAGAAAAAATTATGCAATTTTAATTAATAATTTTCCACACAGACTAGTACAATTAAATAAATTCTAAAAATATTAACAGAAAATAATAAAAATTACCTAAATCAAATTGAAAAATATAATTATTGTTAGAGTAATCTGTACGAGGTTATATGTTATTTTAATAACAATTGTTTTACACTCGTAGTTAAATGTATCACGTTGCTGTTTATTATATGATGAAACAGAATTCACAAGACATAACAATCATATATGTATATACATAGTAATTAAATAATTCTAATTTCATGAGAAAATTAATTTGAATATTCCATAAGTGGAATTAAATATCATAATATAAACAATTTCTAAAATCAAAGAAGTTCTAACTATTTGTTTAAAAGAAGTTTTACAATTTTGTGTTATAAAGTATATAAAATATAAGTACAACAGAGGAATAATTATTTATTACGTCATTTTATGAGACACGATAATGCTAAACTGTACCTTAATTGCCACTTTCGTATTTTGTTAATTAAAAAACTGGACACATCTTCAAGTTGATTAGAACCAAACAATTTTAATCTTCAAAATAAATTTTACATTTTAATCAATAGAAAATATTTTTATGATAATGAAACATGTAATTTGGTAATATTTATTTGTTTAACTTTATAAAACTGTTTTGCTATTTATTAAGGTAAAATAACAATTCATGATATAATTATAGAAACTTCTAAGTATTATTGACCATACCATAGACTGGGTTCGCAATAAATTCTCTGTACTTTAAAAGAGTTTATCGGAGGATCAATGATAACATTGCTTACGAATTGTGTAAAATATCTCAGAGAATAAAATTAAAAGGGGTTTAAAACATTGAGCGAACAGAAAGATACAATTGATGAATGAACAGTAATTGTTGTATTGTGCAGCTTTTAAGCTATTAAGATCATGATAACGAAAAGAATTTAGCCTAGAAAATTTATTATCTTTCGTCCTTTCATTTTTAAACCTATATACAAGATAAAATAATCGAACTAATCCGTCTTATAACCCAAAAAACACAATAAATTGTATTATATTTTCAATGCCGTTCTATTAACAAGTGTTTAACAAAAATAGTGACAGATATGAATGAAGATGAAAAAAAACCCATTAATAAAATATTATACTTCGAGATAACTTGAATCAGCAGTATGTATAACATATAAAAAATCCAATTTTATTTTTCTGCCATTGATTATATAGCTGAACGATATACATTTTAACAACTAATAATATAAACGAGAATATATGAAGAGTCACTTGGCGTTATAAAAATGTATTATTCATGGTACTTTATAATAAGTTCTAATCTAATATGACGATTTTGTCAATTTTTGTGATAAAATAAAACAAATTATTATCCCCATACAGTTAAGAAAATCTTTTTAGCATACAATACTAAATAAATTATATGTGAAAAGTTATAATATAATAATAACACAAATACACATAGTGTACGAAGTACGTATATAACTACTTTATAATAAAATCCAAAGATTTCCATGGTTGTAATTTTTTTTTTTTAAATGTTGAAAACGTAAGAAGTTTTCGTAATGTACTTACCTAATCATCTGTCTTTCAAAAATTTTAAGGGAATTTACACATGTATTACATAAATTAAACGAAAAGGTAGTATATACATAGTGTATTGACCAATATCTTAGAACGAATTACGATTTCGAGAAATAATAAAATTATGA